ACAGCTGACACCACAAGAGAGAGTAACAGGCTGAATGGCCTTAGGCTTCATGAGAGCTAACAGATTTATTAATTAAAATCTATTTTTCCTCATTCAGGGACCTTGGGGATACAGAGGATACCCCAACAAGATTGCCAGTCGCAACCAAAGAAGCCAACGTGGTCTTCCAGGCGGAGCTCAAGACCCATTCCTCTCATCTGAGATCAGCTAGTGTGAGAGTTCTGTGAATCCCCCAATAGGCAGGGACAGCTCTAAGACCCTGCCCACCAGGAAGCAGATACAGAAGAAGAGGCTTCCTGTCCCTCAACTTCCCATAGAGATTTTATGGGGATCACGTCTCTCAAGGGGAAAACTAGGTAGGCAGTTAGAGGCAGGCATTGGGTCCCTGCATTCCTGCATGTCCCACAGGATGTGACCGCCCGGTGACCTCCCCTCAACCCAAAACTTCTTTTCACTGTAACTGTCTACCCCTGAAACAAATGGGTGCAAAATACCCAACTAGATCAGACCAGTCACTCGCACCTGCACAGTACCTCTTGTCAATCACAGGTGCCAATCAAGTGGCCCCACACCCATAGGGGAACAGCCCATTCTAGAGAAGGGATAAAAACCCCAAGTCCTGGGAAGACCTCCCTTTTTTTCTTTTGATTTTGGATGCCCTGCTCTTTTGACCGCTTCTTCCTTTTCGAGCCTTTTGAGCCTCGCCTTTGCGCATGGCCTGCTCCAAATTCGTTGGAATGTAATTTCTCTTCTAATAATGGGCCCTTGAGCTACTCTCTACTGCTCGGGCCTACTTCTACTCTTTGAAATGTACTATCTCTTCAAATAAACTACTTTTTCAGTACTTTACTCCGGCATCTCATTCAGTTCTTTGCTCGAGTTGCCAAGAACCTGGACTGCGCCGAGAAGGGCTCACTTTCCGACAACAAAAGCACCTGGATTATTTTGTTTTGCATCCTTGAATTTTGGTCTATGATTTCCAAGCAAGGAAACAGTTCTCATAATCACATATTAGTCTTTTCCAACTGATTATCTGTTCCCCTCTGCCTCTAAACTTCAGAACCCCCAGAGATACCAGTAAATGCTTTTTCTGGAAATCCATGTTCTTTCCAACTTGGCCACACCTGGAGACAGGAATAAGATGGAAGGAAAGGAGGATAATATTTATTGAGCATATGTTATGTAGCATGTACTGAATTAGGCCCTTAATTTCTGTTATCGCCTTTACTTCTCATAACTCTGTGAGGTATGAATTTTCCACAGTTTGCAAATGGGAAAATGAAGTACATACGGTTCAACGATTTGCCTGGGGCACACAATTACTTCTCAACACAGCCTTCCTTCTGTCTTTCCGCAGAATTAATGTGACTGACACCCCGAGACCTGGGGGTCCACAGAGGCAGGAAGACCCTCTTCCACCCTCCTTGCCCCCTCAGCTCCTCGGGGATATGTGCACAACTGGGAGATGGGGTGGCGGGTGCCTTGGAAGCTGAATTCCTCAGCTCCCATGAATTCAAGGCTCTGTTTTTCTGAAATTTGCTGGAGGAGAGCTGGTCCTGCCATTTAGGGGGAAACTTCCCAACACCCACTGTTTCCCAGTGCCCAAGGACTACAGCAACCTCCCCCACTGCATCAGCCCTTTGAATCTTTGGGGCAGGAGGCGATGTGTTCGGCGCTGTGGGGACTGTCACTGTGGCATTTCCAGATAGATGCACAGACCCCCACGTTCCTCTCCTAGATCAAGGACGCACACCTGTGTTGATTGCAGCACTGCCTGCAATAGCCAAGATATGGAGGCAACTTCAGTGTCTATCAATAGAAGAGCAGATACAGAAGTGGTACATAAATACAATAGAATATTACAAAGACATGAAAAGAATGAAATCTTACCATTGGTGACAACATGGATGGACCTAGCAGGTATTATGCTAAGTGAAATAAGTCAGACTGAGAGAGACAAATACCACATTGTTGGGGGGAACCCAGACAAAGAGACAGGACACCAAGGTGTGGGAAGTCACTTTTATTAATGCCGGCACTGGCTGAGCGGATTCACATCCAGAGGCTGAGCCCCGACCCGGGTGGGACTCGGGGCTATATACCCTGAAGTTTCCAGGTTGGCAGCTAAGATTTATTATTAGGACATGTGGCCATTGTGCCAGTTCCTGACTGGCTCCTGGGTGAGGTAGGAATTTGGAAATATTAAATGCAGAAGTCTTGCTGACCATATAGTCCAGGAATGTCTTTGTCTGAAGCCCACGTGAAATCCTTAGTGACCACATGGTCTGGGAAGGCCTTTGTCTAGGGCCCACTGCTACAACATGATCTCTCTTGTATGTGGAATCCAAAAAACAAAAACGCAAAGGAATAAAACACAAACACTTTCATAGATACAGAGACCAAATTGACGGTTGCCAGAGAAGAGGGAGGTTGGGGGGTCTGGGGAAAACAGGGAAAGGGATTAGGAAGGTCAAATTAGTAGTAACAAAATAGTTAAGGGGATGTGAAACACGGCAAGGGGGATATAGTCAATAACATTGTAATATCTATATATGATATCAGGCAGACTCCAGACTTAGTCAGGGATCACCTCGTGGGTTAGATGAATGCCTAACCACCATGCTGGACACCTGAAAACTGATGTAATATTCTATGTCAACTGCCCCTGAAGAAAAGGTGCCACACTCAGCCCAAGGCAGCCATTCCCAAATGCTTCCCTCCGCCCCATCTCTTGCTCCCCCTACAATCAAGGGCTTCTCTCTTCCTCCCCCAGGAAGACAGCCTAGCAAGTTGTCCCATGGAGGACTGATGTTCTCTGCTAAAGGGTCGGGGGGACAGGGGCTCCCCATTTCTGTGCAGGGAAGAAACATCTTGCTGGCCGTGGCCTCACCTGACAGCCTCGGACCAAGTGAACACCCTGCCTGACTTGGAGGGAGATGAGGGCCGTCTCCATGGAATGGAACCCACAGACAGAGCCCCCTCCCTCACAGCAGTTGAATGTGCCAGCTGTGTGGGCTGGCAGCTGGCATGGGGCAGGGGTCAGCTCCGCTGGAGCCTTAGATGTGCTTAGGCACCCTTCCTCCTCTGCAAAGCTCCCAGTCTCGTGCTCTGATCCCCCAGCAGCTTCTCTGAGCCCTTCTGTGCTTCACAAAGGCTTCTGCTCACTCAGGCTCAAGTGTCTCCTGCTCTGGAAACTGCGGCCTTCACCTGGATGCAGCCCATTCAGGGTGGTCCCCGAGACGCACTGAGCTGCCCTAGATGTGCTTTCCTGACTTAGGGGACGGGTCCTGCATTCCGAGGGAGAGGGAGAAGGCAGGAGTGTCCAGGCCGGTCCCTCCTGTCTAGGATGGCAGGGCCAGGCTGAGCAGGTGAGTGATGAGGGTGCGGAGCACAAGCAGGGGCAGGGGCAGGGGCAGGGCAGGTGTGGGCTGGGGGCACGGACTTCCAGCTGGGGGGTTGCTCCCAGGTACCTTCGTCAGCCCCACTCCCAGCACGACCGCCTTCTGACCTCAAAGGCTCAGCCCCAGGGTCTCAGCCCCCTGCTCTCCCCGACAAAGCTCAAAATGGACCAGGAGACCTGGGATGTAGGAAACTGTGGCCAACACCTTCAAGTCGTGTTTCCATCATGACCCAGAATCTGCACTTCCAGGGACCTGTCCTCAAGAAAGAGTTGCAGATGCAGGTGTCCCCTTCAGTTTGGTGACTGAAATTGGAAATGGCCCATGTGGTCTCAGACATGGGATCCCGGCTACACACGGTGGGTCCACGCATGTCTCAGCGTGGATATTAGCCCCTCTCCGTGGACATGCATGTTCATTCCAGTTTCGTGCTGTTTCAGCCAGTGCTGTGGGGGATGACTATTAAATACATCTTTGACACCCTCTGCAAGACTGTCTGTGGCTCACCTCCTAGGGTGAGCACTGCCGGGGGGAGGGGAGCACCTGTGGGCCTGGGACGGGTCCTGTGCCCTGTGCTGCCAGAGGAGGGGCCTTTCCCGCTTCTGCCCAGGGATCTGCTGGGACCTCTGCTTGCTCACCGTGCCCCCAGGGTGGTCGCCCCCAGACCAGGACCCTGCTAGTCTGATGGTGGCCACACAGTTTACACCTGCCTGTCCCCATCGAGAGGACAGGCATGTCTGACATGCACTTGCCAAAAGGGTTGCCTCTTGTTGGAACTGCACGTGGTTGCTCTTGGTTGTTTTGAAAACATTGATATTTCAGAGGTTTTTTTGTCCCAAAAGGATGGTAGACCTTTCTCCAGTTCTGGAATGTGAAAAAAAATGCTTTGGGGTTTGTGATTAGTTTTTCCAGCTTCTTGCATTTTCCGTGCTTCTATTCTGGCTGCAGAAAGAGCCTGCCCTTCCTGTCGGTCTTCTGAGGCTGGTGTCACACGGGAACAGTGGTGTCTATCCTGACATTAGGTGCATATTGACTAACAGGGCTTCATGTTATACATCTAATATTTCATCTCTTTGGGGTTTCAATTAAAAGCAAATGCGTTCCGGGGGCCGGCCGAGTGGCTTAGTTGGTTAAGAGTTGACTTAAGAGTGCAAGCTCTGAGCAACAGGGCCGCTGGTTTGATTGCCAATGGGCCAGTGACACTGCGCCCGAGCTGAGCTGTCACTGAGCTGCCAACAGGTGGCAAGATGGCTCAGCTGGTGTAACAACAAGATTGCCTGTTCGATGGTGGGCTATGCCCACCACAACTAAGACTGAACTCGGCACCTTGAGCTGAGCTGCCACCCAGATGGCTCAGTGGATAGACGGTGCGCTCTTAACAGCAAGGCTGCTGGGTTCGACTCCCGCATGGGATGGTGGCTATGTGCACCTGCAACTAAGATTGAATACAGCACCTTGAGATTAGAGTCTATGAGCTGCCGATGGGCAGCCAGATGGCAATTGGTGCCCTCCACAACGAAGACTGAAGAACAACTTGGATGGTTGCCTTCCCCAATTCCCCAGCACTGTTCCCTACCCCCAAACCCCAATAATATCTTTTAAAAAAAGCAAATGAGTTCCAATTAAAAGAGACAATAATTAATGAGTCCCATCAGACACAAAAGAGAGCTTATTCTATGCTTGGGTTTAGAGACAAGATCCCAGAACAGAGGACAGAAAAAAGATTGGGTCAGCCAGGGGCTGGAAAAGAAGGAATGGAGAGTGAGGCATGTGTGCAATGGATTTCATTTGGGGAGATGAAATGTTTCACAGCCAGAGAGTGATGACGCGTGCCCAGCCTGTGCTCAGGAATGCGCAATTTACAAGGATGTCTGTTGCATTTAATCACAATAAATTCAACCCCAAATGTAAGATATCACATAAATACGACAGCAAAATTAAAATCAAGGAAACGACAAATGGAAAGAATAAAAGGGAAACAAAGGAACTTTTGGGTGGAGGACAAGGTTGAAATTGTGGAACAGGAAAGAGTCCTGAGGGGCAATCCAGAATGGGCCACCCCTGCAGGGGCAGAAGGCACGTTGAGAACTCTAGGTTCGCGGCAGGCACCAGAGCTGGTGCAGCTGGCCAGTCATCTTTTGGAGCTGCAGGGCACAATGGCAGCTCCAAGTCACCTGCTGAAACTGGGACTGGTGCAGTTGAAGGCTCATCTTTTCGGGGTTTTGTGTGAAATGACAGCTCCACTTCTGAGGGCACCAGAGCTGTTGCAGGTGGAGATTCTTCCACCAGGAAAGCTGGCAACAATGTTTGCTCCATGAACCCAATGGGCACCAGAGCTTGTGCAGGTGACATGTCATTATTTAGTGGTGCTGGAAGCTGTGACAGCTTCAGTTGCTCTGGAAGCACCAGAGCTGGTGCAGGTGACAGGTCATCTTTTAGAGGTGTGGGGCACAATGACAGCTGCAGGTCCCCAGCTAGGGCCAGAATAGGAGCAGGCGAATCCTCACCCTTTTTGGGTTCTGGGAGTGATGACAGCTCCACTTCCCCGGAGGGCACAGGAGCTGCAACAGGTGACATGTCATTATTGATTGGTGCAGGAGGCATTGACAGCTCCACGTCCCATAGTGGGGACAAAATTGGTGTAGGTGACGGGTCATCCTTTATATATGCTAGGAGTGATGACAGCCCCTCTTTCCTTAAGGGCACCAGAGCTGTTGCAGGTGATGATTTTTCCACCAGGAATGCTGGCAACAATATTTGCTCCAGGGTTTCAGCCTCTGCTCTTGCAGGTGAGAGGTCATCATTTATTGGTGCAGGATGAATTGACTGCTCCGGTTGTTCTAGAGGCACTTGAGCTGGTGCTTGTGAAAGGTCATCGTTTACTTGTGTGGGGCACAATGACAGCTCTAAGTCCCATGCTGGGGCCAGAACAGGTGCAGGTGAAGGCTCACACTTTAGAGGTTCTGGGTGCAATGAGAGCTCCACTTCCCTTGGGGGCACCAAAGGTGACATAGGTGATGATTCTTCTTCCAGAAATGCTGGTAACAATGTTTGCTCCAGGGCCCCAGCAGATATCAGAGCTGGTGTAGGTGACATGTCATCCTGGAGTGGTGCCAGGGACAATGACAGCTCCATGGCCACGGCAGACATCAGGGATGGCGCAGGAGACAAGTCATCTTTTAAAGGTGTGGAGCACAATGACAACCACAGGTCCCCAGCTAGGGCCAGAATGGGAACAGGTGAATCCTCATCCTTTTTGGGTTCTGGGAGTTATGACAGCTCCACTTCCCCTGAGGGCACCAGAGCTGCAACAGGTGACATGCCATTATTGAGTGGTGCAGGAGGCACTGACAGCTCCAGTGGCTCTGGAGACACCAGACCTGGTGCAGGTGACAGGTCATCATTCCGGGGTGCTCCGTGCATTGACGGCTCCAGGTCCCATATGGGGACAAAATTAGTGCAGGTGATGGGTCATCCTTTAGGAATGCTGGGAGTGATGGCAGTTCCACCTCCCCTGAGGACACCAGAGCTGTTGCAGGTGATGAGTTTTCCTCCAGGAATGCTGGCAACAATACTTGCTCCAGGACTTCAGCAGAAACCACACCTGATGCAAGTGAGAGGTCATCATTTAGTGGTGCAGGATGAATTGACAGCTCCAGTTGCTCTGGGGCACCAGAGCTGGTGCTTGTGAAAGGTCATTGTTTACTTGTGTGGGACACAATGACAGCTCTAAGTCCCCTGCTGGGACCAGAACAGGTGCAGGTGAAGGCTCACACTTTAGAGGTTCTGAGTGTGATGACAGTTCCACTTCCCCTGAGGGCGCCAGATCTGTTGCAGGTGATGATTCTAACACCAGGAATGCTGGCAACAATATTTTCTCCTGGACTTCAGTGGAAACCAGAGTTGGGCAGGTGACATGTCATCCTTTAGGGGTTCTGGGAACAACGATTTCTCCAGTTCCCCTGATGGCATCAGAGCTGGTGACGGTGAAGGTTCTACCTCCAGGAGTAAAGGCCACATTGACAGTTCCAAGATCCCTAAAGGCACCAGAGCTGGCCCACGTGACAGTGCTTTCTTTGGGGGTGCTGGGTGCAGTGACAGCTCCAGGTCCCTTCGGGGATCTTCTCCAGATGCCTGCCTCCACCCCAGAGCCACAGCTGCATCTGGTGGTGACAGTGTTGGCAGGTCTGGGACACCTCCTAGGGGCAGACTCTCCTCAGTGCCTGGAGGTGCCTTTGTCGCTGCTCTTGCTCCTGACCCTGCATCGCGGGAAACTGGAGCTGCACCTGGGATGGGCTGCGATTCCTGAGCTGCTAGTGCAGCTGAAAGAGGAGAAAAGGTCACCCACATGCCTGCCTTTCCAGGTGCACTGCAAACCCAGGACCCATTCCAGAGCCGTCCAGAGGAGCCACAGCCCGGGGACCCACCCCAGGACACCTTCTCTGGATTCAAGCCCCCAGATGGCACACTGGGTCCTGGAGCCATCTTGGCTCCTGGCCCAGCACCGGCCTCTGGGGCTCCTCCCAGTGTGTCTGGCACAGAGCCCTCCCTGAGCACTTGCGGGCAGCTCCCACAGGCCCTGCTCACCGTCAGGCTTTGCCTCCCTGGGATCCAGGTCCTCAGGTAGAGTCAGTGGAAGTTGAACTCGGTTCCCCAGGTGTGGGCCTGAAGAGATGACCTGCAAGCAGACCCTGGGGAGTCCCTGGGGAGTGGCCTGGGTGGGGTCTGGGCTGGTGGCCAAGCCTGGCCTTCCATGGGCCCTGGTTCCAAAACCACCGAGGCCACTCTTACCAAGAGGCCGGGCTGGCCCTTGTTGGTGGCGTGGTGCACTTGCCCCTCACTTGGGGACATGGTACCCGCTGTCCCCATCGACTCTCTTGTCACTGATCTCCTGTGTGGAGCTCTGCAGGGACAGTGTCCGGCAAACAGCATGAAGATGTCAGAGCCCAGCCCGGCCACTGAACCCTACTTTTGCCCACCTGACCTTGAGCTCCCACATCAGGCACAGGGTTGTGTGTGCACAGACCCCCACCCCGGTGACATGACATTCCCCTGAGGCTTGGGATGAACCTGGGGCAGAGCTGCTCTGCCCTCCACGTCCCACCCAGCCAGCCTTGACCTGGGGTGTGCACAGGACCAGCCCTCAGGCTTCTGAGCCCCCTCATCCTGCATCTGCCAGCGCGTGCTCCCACACACACACACATGAAGCCCCTCCCCCACCCCCCCACACACACGGGAACAGGGCTGAGGGCTGCCAGGATGCCCCTTCCCTATGGCAGAGCTGCCTCCAATCTCTCTCTTCTCCCCCACTTGTCACCTCCCGAGTGGAGTGTGTACACCCCTTCTCAACCCCTGCTGTACATTCAGTGTGTATGTGTGTTTGTACACACGCACTTGTGTGTGGGTGGGGATGCCCAGAGGAAAAAGCCCCACAAGGGAAGGGAACCCCAGGATCTCAGGGGTTCTCATTTCCAAAGCAATCCCTGTGGGAGAGTTCAGCCAGTTCCCACAATCAGTCAGATCCAGGTCAGGGCCATTGAAGTACAGACTGGGGACAAAGCAAGTGCCGCAGTCAGCCAGCCTCAGGGCACAAACCAGATGCAGACTCTGGGAGTGATGTCCATTGTCAGGACCTCTGCAAGGATTAAGCAGTGCCAAGGAGATTCTCGAGCTGCAGATGGGCTGCTAGGATGCTTGAGGCACTGTTCCTCAGCAGATTGAAACCCTCAAAATCCTAATGATCAGATAGACAGAAAGACACTTGTTCTCTGGGGGAAACTGGATGCAGCTTTTGGAATGTGGATTAAGCTAGAATCCACTCCATAGGAAACCCACAAAGTGGTTCAAAGAGTTGTGTTGGCAGAAGCACTGAGATGGTGCAAAGTGGAGAAAGGCCTGTGGGGCCACAGACTTTCTGCAGGCAGGCAACCAGCTGAGGACATGGCTGTGTCCCAATGTCTCCTTCAGAAGTGGCCAAAGAGAGTGATGAACACGTGGAAAAGGAAGGCGATCTCAGGGGACAGAGTGAAGGAAACAATGGACTGGGAGCCACCCCAAGTTACAAACATCAGGGGACACCCCTTCCCCTGGAGAGCAGTCCCCGGCAACATTGTCCAGGGGGCTGCAGAACTGCCCAGGATGGCGACTGCTCTGTGTCTCCATTCTTCTCTCTGACAGGACTACAGTCATGTGCTCTCTTCCCCCCGACAAATGCTGAGCACGTAGGAGCCTAATTAGTTCTCAGTTGGTTCCAACATATGTGACCTAGAGGGGCCTCTGTGGCATGGACACCACAAGATACTGGATGCAAGCCTGATGCCCTGATGAGATGGGACCTGGGGGACCTGAGATGCAAGATGGGGTGAAGACACATGACACGCACAAGGGACATGAACTGTGGTGGCCAAGACTGACAGCTGGAGCAGATGGTGTTCGGGGGCCTGGGCCTGTCACCTTTTCCTGAACCCGTGCCCTTTGCCCAGTGCTTTGCATCTTCTCGGCACCTTGACTGAGACTCCCCAGGAGCCCCTCCACACTCCCGCTGTCTCCAACAGGGCTGCTCACTCCTGCCTGTCCCCTGGGAGCTTCCAAGTCCCCGGGGGCCTGGAAGTGATATCAATAGATGACTGCCCCTCTCCCACCCTGTCACTTCCATACCACTTGACCTTCCCTGGTCAGAACCTCTCCTAGAATCATGTTTGGGGAGGTGCAGAATGTTGGCTCCACGTGGATCGTTGGCCCCCCACCCAGACTGTCACTTTCTGACCTCCCCTTCTGAAATAGTCTCCCCCACTTAACCCTGCTACAGCCACCTTGTTGCCTTACAGTTACATCTACAACTGCCCCCACCCCTCCGCACTAACCCCTGACCTAACAAGGTCATGAGGGAGTGTCTCGGAAAACTGAGACCCAGTGGAATGACATCGGTCATCTCCCTTAATTGACTAAGACGGGGTACAGTGATGCTGTCCTGGGGCTTGTGCAGGCTGTATGAAGGCATAGTACATGTTGGAATACAATAGGAGCTGGTTAATGGAAAACAGCCTTAAGGCACGTAGCACACGGATCTTTGAGTAATTCAGTTTCACTTCCTTTGAAATTTTCTCAATAAAAGCCATACGAAGACCCGACTCGGGGCTCATTCCACGAGGCTGATGCCCCCTGGTCCCACTTTAGTCTTACCTCTGTCTCTTGTGCTCTTTAACTCTGCATCACCCCTTTCATTTCTCACTGCCCTTGCCACGCAGGATATGACATCTGGCACCCTAATGTGGGGCACGACGAGGGAAGGAAGACTTCGAGTCTGCATCAAGGGTTTCAAGGTGCCAGGCCCGGGACGCGCTGCAGCAATCTACCTGGTATGGAGGTAGGGAAGGTCCTAAGGAATTTAACCAGGGTAAACGGGAATTAACCTAACCATTGTGTGAAAGCGTTTGAATATGTGAGTGACTGATTACAGTTTCCCGGCCTTTGGCCACGAAACTCGAGTGGGCTCCAATCTGCGGTTCCGTAATTTGTCCTAAGGCATAATGGTGACTGGGCATTTGTTTTCGGATGCTTGTCCACCAGTACGGGGGGCTTATACCAGTGCGCCTTCAGCCAAGACAAACTTAGTCCCACGAGGGACGTGGCCAGACGAGCATCTGAATTATTATTATTATTATTTTTTAAAGATTTTATTGGGGAATTGGGGGAGGGGAACAGCGTTGGAGAATTGGGGGAAGGGGAACAGACAAGTTGCTGTGGTTTTGTTCTTCAGTCTAGTTGTGGAGGATGTTGCTTCACTGACCCAAGTTGGCACCATCATTGCACTCTTCCGGGCAAGGCAGATCAGTCGCCGGCTTCTGGACGGCCGCTCACCGCGGCTGCTGGCCGCTCACGCTGGCTGCTGGCTACACACGGTAGCTTATGGCAACCCACTGCAGCAGGGGACTGCAGACTACGCCGTCGCCAGCGACCCACGGCAGCCCAGTCCCAGGTGGAGCTGCTGTTCACCATCTTAGCTGCAGAGGGCAGTGTCACTGGCCCTCATATGTGGGATCCGAACCGGGGCTCTCTGGCATCCCAAGCCAGTTCTTAANAACCGGGGCTCTCTGGCATCCCAAGCCAGTTCTTAACGAACGCGCCACTCGGCTGGCCCCCTGAATTATTTTTGAGTGAAAACTTTTCCTTTCTTTCTCTCCACTAACATGGGAAATGCTGAGAGTCGTTACAGACCATATATTTGTCTCCTCAAGCAACTCCTTAAGAAAAGGGGGATAAAAATCTCAGAAAATAAATTGGAGGAACTTTTAAAGGTCATTGAAACCCACTGTACTTGGTTTCCAGACTTAGAAACAGTAGATTTGGAACAATGGGATGCTGTAGGCAGAGATCTTAGTGAGGTACAATGTCAGGGAGTCATGCTCCCAGCTACAATTTGGGAGACTTTGTTAAGTCCAGACAATTAATAAAGAGGCTGGTTATCAAATTAGGGTTCCGAAGATTTTATTAAGCTGAGCTCAGCGACCGTCTCCCCAGCTAAAGGAAAAACGGTACCCCAGACTCGGGGTCTGGTTTTTTATAAGGCAGGGCTATATGCAAAGTAAGTTACAGAAGCCAAAAGGAATGTGCAGTTATTCCAGTTAAAACCGCATCCCGCTATCACAACAGTGCCGTTATGTGTTATGTTCAGATGTCTTAACAGTATATCGTGACTGGGTTGAGCTGACCACACAACCTGTCCCCTAAAGCTGAAAACTTCTTTGAAGTATAAAGATAGAGACCATGGGAGTCAACTGTCCTTTTGATATGTTAAAATAAAAGCGAGGGGAGAGTTTATTGCTGTGAGGCCTTTTGGTGTGTTAAGATAGAAGCAAGGGGCCAGTTTACTGCTGCTGTGAGGCCTTTTGGTATGTTAAGATAGAAACGAGGGGAAAAAGGGGGAACTGAGGAATGTTTTTTCTTTAACCTTTTATTCCCCAGCAGAAGCAAAGCAGGTATACAGAAGCAAAAAGAGCTGTTAGTTTTTAGAGTCTAGCTGGAGTAGCTGAAGTATAATTTTTTAACGTGAATTTGTCTGGTCTAGGGTCCGGACCGGGGTCCCTTCAACTTGGTGGCTGATCCAGTCAGTTTTGGAACCTTTACACACTGACATGGAAGATGAAGGGAAGATAATGATCAGGACTGTAAAAATCAAAAGGAAATGTCTGAAGAAGATGAGGATAGAGAGGAACTTTTAGAGGACAGAGAGGAAGACCCTTCAGAAGCACCCACAATTATTCAAAATCGTTATATCCATCCTTGGGGAACAATTTAAAAAGTTATAATTTACCTCCCACTTTTTCTCAGCTTCCACCTCCACCGCCACAATCAGTTCAGGCAAAAGAACGGGAGTCACTTAAAAAAAACGCCCAGGGCAGTTCCTCTCCACTGCCCAAGCACCTCCTCCGCCTGCCGGAGGCCCTCATATATCATTGTCAGCAGCAGAACGAGGTATACGTCAGGCTAGACTAGAGGGAGATTTGGACACCTTAAATTTCCCAGTAATAATTTGGGAGCATGTTGCACCCAATGATGAAAATCCAGATGAGGTTCATGTACTCATACATGAGCTGTTTTCCTTTAAATTGCTTAAAGAACTAAAACAGGCAGTAATTCAATTTGGTCTGACATCACCTTACACTATTGGCCTCATTAGAGGTATTGCTGATGGAAACAGGCTAATACCGGTAGATTGGAATGCTATGGCTAAAACATGCCTTTCATCATCTCAATTCCTGCAGTTTAAAACTTGGTGGATTGATGGTGCAGAGATTCAGGGCAGACATAATCAAGCTCACAATATTGACATAGCTAAGGATCAGTTGTTAGGTGATGGTGAGTGGACACACTCCAGCTCAGTTAACCATGAATCATCAAGCGCTGGATCAACTTAAAAGAATTTGTTTGATGGCATGGGAAAAAATAGAGATGGAAGGTAAAGCTCCATCTTCGTTTCAAGAAATATTACAAGGACCTCAGGAACCTTATTCAGAATTCATTGCCCACTTGCAGGATGCTATAAATAAGCAGGTTGTCAATGCTCAAGTGGTTGATATACTTTTACAAATTATGGCTTATGATAATGCTAATGAGGATTGCAAAAAAGCAATAGGAGCTCAAAAAGGAAAAACAGATGCCATGGGCTACCTTCGTTTATGTCAAGAGGTAGGGACTGAACAGTTTAAAGCCACCGTGCTGGCACAAGCTATTACAGGATTGACTATGGGAAAAAATAAGTTTCCTGGCACTTGCTATAATTGTGGAAAAACTGGTTACACAAAAGAGTGCTGGAGGAAAATAAAAATGCCTCCCGTACGCCTAATGATTCTGCTCCTATGGGATCTAAGTTACCTGGATTATGTCCTAGGTGCCAAAAAGGAAATCACTGGGCATCTGACTATAGATCAGTTTTTCATAAGGATGGAACTCTCCTTCAGGGAAACAGGAAAAGGGGCCAGCCCCAGGCCCCCAAAACAACCGGGGCATACGTGACACCGGTCGTTTCTCAGAATTACCAAGCAGTGCCTCCTCCAAACTTTCAGTACAATAATTAAGTCCAGCCACAGAAGGGAGTGCCATGGTAGATGTCTGCATGGCTAAAGACATTTTACTGCTTCCAGGAGAATCACCTCTCCGTGTACCCACAGAGGTTTTTGGGCCAACTCCACCCGATACCTTTGGCTTTCTCCTTGGTCACTCTAGCTTAACCACCAAAGGAGTAACAGTCCATACAGGTATTATTGATTCAGATTATGAAGGAGAAATTAAAATTATAATGCATTCAACAGTTCCTTGGTCTGCTAAGAAAGGAGAGCTGCTTGCACAATTACTTCTGCTCCCGTATGTCCTCCCAGGAAAAAAGGGGACACAAAAAAGGGGAACTGGAAGTTTTGGAAGTACAGGACAAGGAGGTATTTTTCTAGCAGAAAAAATCTCAAAAATTCATCCTGTGTGTCAAATTGAAATTCAAGGAAAGGAATTTAAAGGTCTTTTAGACACTGAAGCCGATGTTTCTATCATCAGTTCTCAAGAATGGCCAAAAAATTGGAAAGTACAGGAGCCTAACTTTAATATTGTTGGAGTAGGAAGAGCCTCAGGCTTACGCCAGAGTGTCTGCATTCTTCCTTGCACAGGACCGGAGGGTCAACAAGGATTTTTACAACCTTATGTTGCTGACATTCCCATCAATTTATGGGGTAGAGATTTACTAACCCAGTGGGAAGCAGAAATTTGGATTCCTCCTAAACTATATAGTCCTCAGAGTCAAAACATAATGAGTCAAATGGGATTTCAACCTGGGAAAGGGTTAGGAAAATTCAATCAGGGAATTACTCAGCCTATCCAACCCTTACCTCAGCAGGGAAGAGAAGGGCTAGGCTATCAGAACAACCATAATAACCCTTTTTTATAGGGGCCACTGTTGAAGAGCTACGAGCTCCTGTGCCTCTCAAATGGAAGAATAACACCCCTATATGGATTGAACAGTGGCCCCTCCCTCAAGAAAAATTAGACGCTTTAACAAAATTAGTACAGACTCAGAACAAGATCATATAGAACCTTCTACTAGTCCTTGGAATTCTCCAGTATTTGTTATCAAAAAGAAATCAGGAAAATGGCTAATGCTAACTGACCTCCAAGCTGTTAATGCAGTCATTGAACCTATGGGTGCCCTGCAGCCAGGACTTCCCCAACCCTCTATAATTCCAAAAGATTGGCCTCTTATAGTTGTTGATTTACAGGATTGCTTTTATACAATCCCTTTACACCCTCAAGATTGTCCACGATTTTCATTTTCTATTCCCTCAATAATAAAGAACCAATTCAAAGATATCAGTGGACGGTATTTCCATAAGGAATGCTTAACAGTCTGACCAACTGTCAGCTTTATGTAGCTCAAGCTCTTACTCCAGTAAGAACCAAGTTTTCTAATTGTTATATCATTCACTATATGGATGATATCGTCTGTGCTGCATCCTCTATGGAACAGTTAGCAGCATGCTTTGAATTGCTTAAAAATCAGCTTGATTCAGCTGGATTTTGTATTGCTCCATACAAAATTCAAACAACCATGCCAGTAGATTATCTAGGAGCGGTGGTCAATAGACAGACTACTAGACCTCAAAAAGTTCAAATTAGAAGAGAGCAGATTTCTACCTTAAATGACTTACAAAAATTACTGGGAGACATCAATTGGCTATGACCCACTTTGGGCATTCCTACCTATACTCTTAGTAA